TCTCTCTGCCTCTCTCACTTTTCCTGTTTCTTTCTCTCCCCCTCTCTCTTTCCCTCCCCTTCTCTCTGCCTCTCTCACTTTCCCTTCCTCCCTCTCTTTCCCTCTATCTCTTTGCCCTTCTCTCTCTCTCTCTTCCCCCACTCTCTCTCTGTCTCTTTCTCTCTCTCTCTCACACTCACACACTCACTCACACACACACACACACACACATTTAACAAGCTCCATTCTATAAATCTTCATTAGTGGACTAATGCCCTCTTGAAAGCTTTGTGCTGCTGCCGAAAATTAACACAAACATTATTAGTTGAGTGGGCAGATTATTTCCTTGGCTACCACATGCATGCCTTTGAAAAACCTGTCTTTCTGTGATTAGAAAAAGTAATAATTTTGTATAGACTTAAGCTTAAGTATTATTATTTTTATACAGATACCCGATAAACGTAACCATAGATGTAGTTCAGTTGAAGCCCCACTGCTTACAAGACTAGGGTTGAAGCTTGCTTTGGTTACTGCTTTGAAGTGATCCCAAGGAAGTTTCTTTCAACCCCTTCATGCCTGTAAAGGAGGGGGCTTCCAGATCCAGACAAACAGACAGATACCAGCCAATCCACCAGGCATCCTGAGAGTAACCAAGGACATGGAGACAGAAGGGGCAATAAACTTGGGAGTGCCAAGTGACAGCAACATCAGCATTAGGAGCAACTGGAGAGGTCCTAGGGCCTGAAGGAGGAACTAGAGAGGGTGGGGAAAGAAAAGAAAAACCAAGGAAGAATAAGGAGGGGTGAGATAGAAAAAGTACACAGGACACCTGTGGGGGGGTCTGTGGCCCTGTCCATTTAAGACCTCTTCCTAGATGCTTTCTTATCAAAGCTGAGCAGAGAGGTGGCGTGGAGGTGTTGGCATTTGGGAGAAAGGGAAAGAGGTGTGCTTGTTTGCAAAAGCAGCCCAAAGTAAGATAATAGATTGATAAAGTTACTGCCGGCCAGCAGTAGGACTCACAAGGAGTAGAAACTGGAGGAATAAAAGGAGGAAGTGTCATAGAAGTGGGGAGAAGTGGAGGAGCACGCAGTGAGTATTTTAGCCTTCGAGTGCTTGTGTGTTTGTGGCCTAATGCCCGTATGATTGTGTTGCCTTTCTTGGATATTGGAGCCTGTTAACCTGGCTCTGTGTAAAAGAACTGGTGACATATTGATGTATATTTCAGAAGAGAAGCTGAAAGATACTGTCCTTGTGTCCTCCGGGAAAAGACCAAGAGAGCCAATTGCAAAAGCCAGCTGTCCCTCTGGGGCCATTGAATTGACCACCTTCTTTTGAACAAAGGTTTATTAAGATCTACGACCCAAAACGTCACTCTCGGTTCTTCAGTCCTCGTGCCGAGTGTCCGTTGGACCCACTGATAATTGGAGGGCAACAACCCAAGTTGTCACCTTGTTGTCTTTCCTCAATGGGGATCATGTTTTAAATTTGTCCAAAATATATATTTTTTAAAGAAACTTCTCAAGGCGAATCTGGCATTCTTGGCTCACAGAGGGCTCTGAAACTGGGAGAAACTGCATTGACAGAAGGTCAAAGGAAGGGGAGAAGTCTTCTACTTGGGAAACCTTTATAAGGAAGGGAGGGGGAAAAACGCTTTGTAAATCAAATAAGGAGGAGGATTTGGGCAGGTGTGGAGCAAAACCTTGTGAAAACAGAGAAGCATTTGCTAATAATGGGATGGGATGGCAAGGGGGGGGGGATTCAGTCCCATTTGACTTCGGCCACCTCCAGTGGTAATTTGTGTCAAAACCTGTGGAGCAAATTCAAATTCTCTTCCAGCATTTCTAACATCGTAAACAATATATAATATAGATATACTTCTCAAGGTGAATCTGGCATTCCCTTCCTCCTATTTTGATTTGATATCGTGATTTATGTTTAGTTTTTTTTTGTTTGTATATCAAACGTAGAAAACTGCCCACTCAGAAATTTGATTTCCCAACCCTTATACGGTCTTTCATTGATCAGCTGTCCTTTCGTTTTCTTCTATTTATGCCATCTCGATGCTGAGAGCAACTCCGTGAATTATTTTTCTTCTTTCCAGTTTAGTTTACAGTCCCCAGGTTGTGTACTAAACTGTTCCTGAACAGAAAAGGGGGGATCACACGCTTCCAGATGTTGAGAAGAAAAAGAGAGCGGGATGCTGATTTTATGCCCTCTCGGGCCTTTGATCTTGATCTTGCATTCTGATTGGTTGTCAGACTCCCATGGGGCCACTCAGAGGCAACTCTCCAGGCTGTGCTTTGAGTCCAAGTTTGGTTGAGTATGGCTTCTTCCCAGGTGCCCTGTGGTGAGATGGGTAAAGGGCTAATACTATCATGCCTTAATCCCATCACCCTGGAGCTGAAGGGGGGGGAAAGATTTTTGTTATGTAGAATAGACTGACCCAGGACTTTTAATGGCCCAGTGACAAAGGTGGGGGCTATTAAGAGTGCTTCCTGCCTTAAAACATGTTTCTCCATTTCTTATCCAGGGAAATTATAATATTCTGCATTTTTAATATTTCCCAGGATATTTCATTTTTCTAGGAGAAGGGTGGGTTTTAACTCCCTACAGTAACATAGAAGGATGTGGCAGACGAGGGATACAAACCCTGGAGCAGGCAATGTATTCGTTTAAGATGAAAGTAAGGTACCTTTAAGCTGTCACTTTGCAGGAGGGCTGTTCCCTCCTTGAAAATGACTGGGGAGAAATCCTTTGGAGCACATTCACATACTCAGGCGGTTTATATCTCTGCTACCGTAGTTATTAAAATAGGCACTGCTGTGCTTTAGGGAATCTCAAAGCACGACCGGCAGACACGGAACGGTCAGAGCTGAAGAAGCTTCTTAGATGAGAAGTGAAACGCCTCCAAAGAAAAACCAGTTGCCTCTTGAAAAAGCACCTTTGGGACATACAGAAAGGTCATAAAATCAGGGGCAACTTACTTGGCAAGCACCTTGTTTAGTAACAGAAAATTCTTGTCCCAATTAACACAAACATTATCAGATAAGTGGGCAGGTTATTTCGTGACCCGTCAAAACCGCGGTCCACTAAAGGGCGCCCGATCAAAGCGCGTACGTGACGTCATCAGTAGCGCGACAAATAAAATTAAAAAATATTAAATTAAAATTAAAATAAAATTAAAGCAAGCCGATTCACATAAAGGTAAGGGTTAGGTTAAGGGTTAGGGTTAGGTTTAGGTTTACGTTAAGCGTTAGGGTTAGGGTTAGGGTTAGGTTAAGGGTTAGCATTAGGTTTAGCATTAGGTTAAGGGTTAGGTTTAGGTTTAGGGTTAGGTTTGGGGGGGTTAGGGTAAGGTTTTTGTGTTAATTTTAAATTTACCGCTCACAGCGTGCCGTTTTCGTCGCACTGTGATGACGTCACGTACGCGCTTCCGTCGAGCGTATTTTAGTCTACCACGGATTTGTGGTGGAACCGGTTATTTCCTTGGCTACTACATGCATGCCTTTGAAAAACCCGTCTTTCTGTGATTAGAAAAAGTAATAATTTCCTATAGACTTAGGCTTAAGTATTATTCTTTTACAGATACCCGATAAACGTAACCATAGATGTAGTTCAGTTGAGGCCCCACTGCTTACAAGACTAGGGTTGAAGCTTGCTTTGGGTATTGCTTTGATCCCAAGGAAGTTTCTTTCAACCCCTTCATGCCCGTAAAGGAGGGGGCTTCCAGATCCAGACAAACAGAAAGATACCAGCCAACCCACCAGGCATCATGAGAATAGCCAAGGACATGGAGACAGAAGGGGCAATAAACTTGGGAGTGCCAAGTGACAGCAACATCAACAGTACGAGCAACTGGAGAGGTCCTAGGGCCTGAAGGAGGAACTAGAGAGGGTGGGGAAAGAAAAGAAAAACCACGGAAGAATAATGAGGGGTGAGATAGAAAAAGTGCACAGGCTACCTGTGGGGGGGGGGTCTGTGGCCCTGTCCATTTAAGACCTCTTCCTAGCTGCTTTCTTATCAAAGCTGAGCAGAGAGGTGGCGTGGAGGTGTTGGCATTTGGGAGAAAGGGAAAGAGGTGTGCTTGTTTGCAAAAGCAGCCCAAAGTAAGATAATAGATTGATAAAGTTACTGCCGGCTGGCCAGCAGTAGGACTCACAAGGAGCAGAAACTGGAGGAATGAAAGGAGGAAGTGTCGTAGAAGTGGGGAGAAGTGGAGGAATACGCAGTAAGTATTTTAGCCTTTGAGTGCTTGTGTGTTTGTGGCCTAATGCCCGTATAATTGTGTTGGCTTTCTTGGATATTGGAGCTTGTTAACCTGGCTCTGTGTAAAAGAACTGGTGACATATTGATATATATTTCAGAAGAGAAGCTGAAAGATACCGTCCTTGTGTCCTCCCAGAAAAGAACAAGAGAGACAATTGCACAAGCCAGCTGTCCCTCTGGGGCCATTGAATTGACCACCTTCTTTTGAGCAAAGGTTTATTAAGATCTACGACCCAAAATGTCACTCTCGGTTCTTCAGTCCTCGTGCCGAGTGTCCGTTGGACCCACCGATCATTGGAGGGCAACAACCCAAGTTGAGAAATCCTTTGGAGCACATTCACATAGGCGGTTTATATCTCTGCTACCGTAGTTATTAAAATAGGCACTGCTGTGCTTTAGGGAATCTCAAAGCACTACCGGTAGACAAGGAAAGGTCAGAGCTGAAGAACCTTCTTAGATGAGAAGTGAAACGTCTCCAAAGAAAAACCAGTTGCCTCTTGAAAAAGCACCTTTGGGACATACAGAAAAGTCATAAAATCAGGAGCAACTTACTTGGCAAGCATCTTGCTTAGCAACAGAAAATTCTGCTCCCAATTTTGGTCATAGATCAAGGACCTCTTATATCCTAATGTAGCCTTACAGAGCATGAATGGGTAGGTAGAAAAGTTGGAACTGGAGCAATTTCTCTGCCGGTCAGAAACGTCTTCTCTTAAAGACACTTTTATTTTTTGCATTGCATGGGGAGAACCAACCCTGTCGTGATTCATAAGAAGCCCTGGTTCAGGCATCATCCCTTTGGGAAGGACAAACATTTGTCTCCCTGTCCTCCATCTGAAGGATGGCTTTGGTGTCCTCCGTTCTTCAAACCACGAGTGGTGACTATCAACCAATGGAGACAGTGAGGGAGAGATTTTTGGGCTGGCAACATTAAAATCAGCCCAGAGGTAGAAAAATAGCCTCTTCCTTGCCATAGCCCAGGTTAAAGAGTTGTGATGATCTTGAACAGGAGTCTTGGCTTCAACAAATGCTTGAGCAAGAAGTTCCTTCAAAGCAGTCTTCCCAAGGAGGAGGGAGGTGCCTTGATTTGTCTGGGGGAGGAGTCTAGAGACACATGCATAAAAGCCACTTCCATTCAAAGGAAGGAGTGGGGAGGGGGAAGACAGACAGCTCCCACAATGTCTTCTTCACAAGAGGCAGAACAATTTGTCTTGAGAGGCCACCTCACAGCCACCTCTGGAAGGGGAATTGCCTTCTCAAGGCAAGTCCTCCACGGTCCACCCAGAAGGTGATTCTAATACCATAATGATGAGAGACAACATTGAAGCCACACGGGTAATTAAAAAGGAATATATTCAGATTTTGTTTGTTTGTTTATGGATGCCTTGTGTGTTGTTTTGCAGAATCTCTAGGCCACACAACTGTGTTCCTTCAAGAAGAGATATTTTTTTTTAAAAAAAACCTAACTCATCATCATGCAGTTTCTGCCTGGGCTCTTCTTCTTCTCCATCCTGGTGACTATAGGTATGGTCAGGCTTGTTGTCCATTGTGTGTGTGTGTGTGTGTGTGTGTGTGTGTGTGTTGCTGGAGCTAAGGAGGATTCTCCACATCGGTTACTTGGATGGTTTCTTAGGGACTGTAAAAAGTCTCAAGAATGCCTGAAAGATGGAATGGTTTTCTGGGAAAAAGGAAGTGGGTGTAGATCAGAGGTGGGTTCCTACCAGTTTGCACCTATTCGGTAGAACCGGTTCATCAAATCTACTGAACCAGTTAGAAGAGGTTCCACCAGTGGACCCGGAAAGCAGGCCACACCTACAGAAGAGGTTCCAAAAATTTTTGAAACCCACCACTCACACAGACAGACAGACTCACACACTGACTGACACAGAGAGGGAGAGAAAGAGAAAGGAAGGAAGAAATAAAGAAAGAAAGAAAAAAGAAAGAAAAAGGGTGAGAGAGAGATGAAAGAAAAAAAGAAAAAAGAAAGAAAA